CCCTCTGCCCTGAGGCCCCCCATCTCCCTTGCCTTTCCTTGAGCCCCCACCCTGCACTCAGAGCTCCCCCCACACCCACCACCACTCCCTTCCCTTCCACACATCTACCTCCCCCCCACAAAGCCCCCTCCCCAATACAATCATTTAGATACAGCATGTGCATTTTCCTTTTAATTTAAACACAAAAACCTACAACCATTAGTAGAGTTAGGGACCCAAGCAACACCAAGTAAATCTGCTAGTTCTAAATAAAAATTAAAAGCTACAATTCAAAGCAAGTGATGTATTTTGATAGTCTCTGCAAACAGTAATCCAGTATAAACTATTAAACTATTAAACCTACATATTAATAGAGCATTAATCCCATTTGTTAAGAGTTAACAATTTATGACATTTATACCAACTCTGAAGACTTACTGACTTATGTATCCGCATTTTGGAATGCTGAACGGGATACACCTTAGGAGGTGCCTGGCTTTCAGAGAGCAAGTGCTTAGCACTTCCCCCAAACCAAGCTTGTTTAATGTTTGTATATTTGGGCATTCAAAAATTATTCAAAATGAGTTAATCAGTTACAATTGTAGGCTATCTTTTAGTAACTAATGCTGCAATCCTAGCCATGGGTTTTTGTTAATTGTTAATACTGACCTGAATTCTCAATACTCATTTTTACTTTTGAGCAATCACTTTATGCAAAAAAGTATTTTATTCTAACTTCTATTAAATTTCTACACGTTTGATGCACAGTTAATACAATACAACCTCTACAAGAATAAAAAGAACAGTATTTGCTTAATGAAGAAACACATCTACAATAAGAGTAATTGAGACTAGCATGTAAGTGAATCACCTTTTTATAGCCAATGTAAGCAGCCAAGCAAAACAAAGGAAGACAAAACTAATTTAAAACAAAATCTAATTAATAACTCTGATATGACCTTATAATAATCTGATGACCCAGATGTTACCTGCTGTTATTCACACATGTAAAGCTACTAAATCAGTTTTCCTTTTCAATACCAATGTATTTTATGTGGTCAATTCTCCTGTTCCCCATACCTAGCACCTTCATTCAAATTATCAGTAAGCAGTGCTGAACAGTTTGTGTTTTTAAACACATCAAATCCCACAAGTTAATTTTCTTCACTGCTGGGCACTTTTCTGCTGGCTTCACTTTTCTTACTATATAGTATCCAAGACCAAAATCGTTATGAAACCTGGTCCATTTTAAATTGGAAAATGCAAGAGAAAAGATACACAGTTAGCTCAGCTGGGTTCCTTCTTTACACAAAGACTATTTCTCCTTCACTGGAGAAAGCCACTCTCAAAATCAAGTTAACAATAATACAGTGAGTAATTAATACTTAACCACTCCAAATCTGTGGGGTACTAAGCATACTCCAGTCACATTGGCTCACTAGATTATATCTAACTATAGCAGCCTGCAGTATTCTATTATCCCTACAATACAACAGTGCAAATTAGGTATGTGGCACAAAAATGTTTTTCAATGTAGAAAAATAATTGTAGCTCTCCTCCTCTCTGTGATGCTGTGAACTGTGAAATAGTGCTCAGTCCTCTTTTGACAGCCTAATAATTCCTAACACATGCCAAAGGCAAGCCAGCCATTAAAGAGGGATTGTGATTTAAAAAACCCAACTCATATGTCATGCACAAAAAAAAAAAAAAACACACACACCATAGCTCTAAAATACCCAAGAGTAACATGAAGACTAAATATGCCAGAACCATGCTAAATGCTGAGAATTTTCCAATTCAGCAATATTAAAAAAAATCAAGTTTTTATTCCCATTACCTCAAATAACACCCACATTTCACAGATTTGCCAAGATAAAAAATGTTCTATTTCCTGGTAAATGGTAAACCTGTGACATGATTCTTGATACAATGATCTCCTGTCCTTTACCTTTTATTTCTGGTAATCCATTTAGCTTCTCATTTTTTTAAAGGTACTATACTCATATTTTCTTTGAAATTGGAAAGAAAAATAGTCTAAGGATGATTTAAATCATTCTGGGTAATAGCTGCACAAGTTCACTGTGGAATGAACGTGACAAGAGGATGTGATTTTTGTGTGTCAGTGCATTCATGTTACTAATCAAAAATGAAATGTCTCATGTCTGTGATAGTTCAGGCCTATGTCATCTAGACCAAGTCACGCTATAAATTGAACCTCTCTAATCCGGCACCCTTGAGACATGATCAATGCTCAGCCATGCAAGGTCAATATTATCTAGTAGCATTACCAACACTCTCACTACTTACTGGGCTCTGAGAAGACATTTAGGAGTCAATTAGAGCAAAGTAACAGCACAGAACAGTAAGAGCCGGGACTGAGGGAAAACTTGGCCACACCCATGGTAAGTGGGCATCTAACTAACTAAAATCATGCGGACCACAAATGTTGCCAGATTAGAGAGGCTGAAGGCATTGCACAGCTTAGATGAAATTCTGTTGTCAAAAGGGAGATGGAGACATATGTTCTTTACTGTTAAACATGCTACAAAATGCTCCAAACTAACCCTTCAAATAGCAATGATCCATCTAAAGGTCTTGTTTTAAGTCCCACGTTTGTCCATTTTGCTCAGCCCAAAAACAAAAAATTTCAAAGAAGTTTCCAAATGAGTTCTAATGTATTTTTGACCTTATAATTCTACT